CTCCCCCGCCCACCTGTCCAACTAGGAAAGGTAGGCAGGGGCACAGCTTGTCCACGAGTCAGAGCAGCTGGAGCTTTTCCAGTTGTGCTGAAGGCTACATGGCAGCAAGCTGATTGGACCTAAAACTTAAGTATACCTCACTTCTTGCAATAGGCTGGGTCCCTGGAGAATTTCGAAAAGGGAATCCTACCCAGTAAATGCAGCATTCCAGGAACACCTTGAAGGAAATAGCAAGTCCTTTGGCAAAAGAATCCTTTAGCAGGAAATTATTCCTGCAAAGGATGCTTTTAGGGTAAATGATTTTATGGGCAAAGCGCTTTCTTCTGATTTTTTTTTTTTACACAAAGTGCTTTGCCTCTATTAGATTTTTTTTTAAATAAAGCAAATTTGGTTTTTTAGGAAGCGCTTTTTTCTCTTCCATTTTCCTGCAAAGAGCCTTTTCCTTTGTTTTCCTCAAAGCGCTTTTATCTGATTCATTTTTTGTTAGCTTCTTTGTCTATATTTTTTTCTGCAATGCGCTTTTTATCTAATGCAATTTTTCTGCCAAATGCTTTTGTCTATTTTTCCTGCAATGCGCATTTTCTCGAATTCATTCCCCCCCCCCCCGCGAATTACTTTTTTCCTCCCGCGAATTACTTTTTTCCTAGTTTGTTGGTCTTTGTGAAGTGCTTTGTATTTGTTTTTGAGAAGTGCCTTTTCCTAATTTATTTTTCGTCTCAGCCCCGCAAGCGCTATATTTTTTAAAAAGAAAATTTCCCCGCAATGCGCAATTTTTTTTAAGGCGGAAAATTTTTGCTATGCGAGTTGTAAAGTCTCTTCGCAAAACAGAGGTGCCCCGCCTCCCTCCTGGGGTCGAGTCTGAGTGTAGCGGGTTTTTCTTACCACGTTGGTTGCTAAGAGCCTCAGCGTTCGTCGGCGGCTGGCGCCCGCCGCGCCCCAACTCTTTGTTCCCAGCCGGGCGCGGGCGCACTGAGAAGGGTCTGCGCTAGGAGGAGGGCGCAGGGG